GTATCTGCAAGGCTGTATGATTTTCTTCCTTTTTAGTATCTACAAGGCTGTATATATATGTACTATTTTCTCAATTGAAAGATATCAATTTCTTCTAATTCTTGTTCTATCACAGTTCTGTATGGGGCACAATTAGCAGAAAGACTAAATCTTAGAAGATTGGTGGTTGAAGAGACTCTCAAGTGGTGATAAACAGGTTAGAGAATGAAGAAGGCAGCCTGTACCTACCTAGAACTAGAAGTGGTGAAGAAGATCAAGTGGTTATTAAGGGGTATGAGTATGACTGTGTTTTCATTGAGTTCCTAGGGATGCTAATGGGATGGCTGATTCGTTAGCTAGACAAGGGGTTATTAGGGCTAGTCATACCCCGCTTGTTCATCTCTATACATTTTTCTTTATATTAATAAAACAATATATGCTTAACTATCAAAAAAACAAGAAAATATCTCACCTTTGCATGCATGGTTTACTTATCATGTATGGTCATACCCTTGTATGCTTAGCAGAACTAAACTTATCCATTTATTGGGAATGTCAGCTTCAAAAACTCAAATTTACCTTGTTCCATACACCGGAAGAGAAGCCATCTGCTGAACCATTTCCTGAAGTCATATTGCACTTTGGAATCACATGTTGAACTCCTTTTCTATCCAGTGGCACAATTTTATAGGACTCGTTTCAATTGAAGAGAATCTCATTCACCAAAACATCAGGAATGTGACCTTTCAGAGGATAACTGACTTTATTATGTAGGCTGTGGAACTCAAGCTGTAATCATGTGGTTGAGAATTCATTAAATGCATAAGACAAAGCTTAACTCTATCACAAGAAGACCTAATGTAAATTGAAAAAAAAAATACCTCAGTTCCTGAACCATGAAGAGAAGATTTCAACCCTCCTTCAACATGGATGATGGATCTTAATAACATGTTCAGCAATAAGATAAACCTGTTGAGAAGTTGGTAGATGGGTTACTAGAGAGATAATTAAAAAGGATACTTCATTCTCTATGCTATGAAATGTGATAATTGTTTTCATGGAGTGTCACAAATAAATGTCTCTCATACTAAGACTAGTTGCTTCAGTACTAATCTTGCTACTAGGACAAAGTGATTCAAACTGTGGGCAAAGTCACAAATATGAACTACAAGCTAATTTGCCATCATTCCTGTATTAAAAAGCTGAAAGGAGATCAACAACATTTCTGGATCATTTTAAGTATTGGATATTAACAAATAAATACACTTTCCTTGTATTGGATATTAACAAATAAATACACTTTCCTTGTATAGTATTTTGGGACCAATTGCTATCATACACCACTGAGACTGCCATATGTTGCTTAGAGAATGGGAAGAGGCAAAGAAATTTCGAAATATAAATCAAGCCTCACCAAGAACGGAAGCAGTGCACTAATTCAGGGTCCAATACATACCAACATAGAGTGAGTTTGCTACTTCTTGTTACTCCACTATTAGCAATAAGATATATACCTGACTTTAGTTTAGTCCAATTCCAAACTGCCCACAGAGCTTCACAGAAAGTATTCTCTCACTTCATTTATCAATGTCATTTTTGTCAAATATAATTTTCTTGAACATCAATTTTTCATATAAACAGAATTACACAGTCCTACTGAGTGCTGACACCATAATGGCATTTCCCTGTTTAAAGGATGGATTCATGGATTGGGACCACCTATGCCAGAAGTAGAGCTGCTATCTCTTTCCTATCAAGCTTCTTTCAAATCAAAATTACATCCCAAGTTCTCACTAGGCCTTTCTGCCCTTCTTTCAGTCCATGGTCTGAATGAAGAAAAAAGCAACACAGTACCTCCCTATCAAGGAAATAACTTCTCTGGTGGGAAGAAGTCCAATAAAGGAAAATGATATCATTAATTTCTGCTTGGCCTCTTTAAAGAATGTACATTTGATGTCCCCCCTTCAGCAGAGATGACATTATTGCTACTAGCATCATTTATGTGATCAAGATCTTTGCAAGGCAAGCTAGTGGTATCATTAGTTTCTACTTCCATACCCTCTGATGCAACAAATGACTGATCAAATGTCATGTGTTTTAAACATCCTGTAACCTCTTTCAAAAGCTTTTCTGCAATCTCCATAACAACTTTGTAAGTATCCTCAGCAAGTGCAGCTTTGTTGGCTATTTGAATAAATAACCGATACATTTCTTTGTAACGTAATGTTGCCATTAAGCTTCGGTCAGAAAGTATGGTAGAGCCACAAAATGCTTCAACAGCCGTCACCTTTGCATCAATGGTCCATCTTTTCAATATATAGCGTGAGGGGATTGTCTTGATACGTCTATAATCAAGTACTTTCAATGCATGTCCACATAAGATCCCAACATGTTCAAACTTTTTGCAACTACAACTGACTGAATCATCTACCGAGTCAAAAGCAACTTTGTGTTGGTGATTTTTTCCAGACACACTAACCACATACTCGGTCATTGTTCCAGTCACAACATGATCTTCTTCAATGCTGCAATTTAGTTGCTGCCATACTTCATTATAAAACATGGAAAAAATAGGCGGAGTATATATTTGAGAAGCAAAATTCAATATATCCACTTGCATTATCAAGGTTGGGATGTTTTGTGTTGTTGCAAATTCAGCCTTTAACTCTTCATACCGCTTTTCAGCAATTACTCTCTCAAAATGCTGAAGGAATTCTGACAAATCATACTTAATTTGAAGATATTTCTTAAGACGATTGCTCATGCTCTCATTTCTTTGTGTTGTGCTTATGTCAGCACAAAATGTTTCCCGGCCAAACACTAGATCCCACCTATGCCTTTTGCTATACAACTTTTGCAACCAATCATTATCTTGAATATTGTACTTGTTAATCATATTTTCCCATGCATTTTCAAATTCACTGACATCTTCATAATCATACAAGCAGCTACCAAAATCCTTAGAAAATGTCTTAAATTTTTCAAATACATCACTAAGGTGTTTTCTGGCATTCTGAAAAATATGCCAAACACATAGTTGATGATGTGATTCTGGCAACACTAAATTGATTGCATTCACCATAGCTGCATCATCATCAATTAGAATTGTCTTTGGTTTTTTCCCACCCATTGTTTTGATGAAAGTCTTAAACAACCACTCAAATGTATTTGGAGTTTCATCATACAACATTGCAACACCAAAAACGATTGATTGCTTATAACTATTTACCCCCACAAATAGTGCAAATGGTCGATGTTCATTGTTTGTTCTATAAGTTGTATCAAAAAGCACAACATCACCAAAATGACCATAGTCTATTATCATTTGTGCATCTGCCCAAAATAAATTTGTGATTAGCTCAGCTTGGTCCAATTGTATTGCATAAACAAAAGATGGGTCCTTTGATTGCATGTCTTGAAAATATTGTAAAAAACCACCTGCCTCTCCTTTCTCCATATTCCCACTCCGATACGAATGCAAGTAGTTCTTTAGATCTGAAGAAATAAATTCAACATTTTCATGCCCACAAACATTCTCAGACATCAATTCTCTTGATGCTTTTGAAGTTATCCCCGACTTATTTGTCATTTTAGTTTGAGTAGCTTGTGCCTCAAAGAGCTTTCTTTGTGATCTTAACATGTGTACTTTATCAGGAGTTGCAATAATATGGTTATGAGTCTCGTTAAAACTAACCACATGAAAGAAACCATCTTCACGAAGACTTATCTTCAACTCTGCCATACAACCACATCTTGTCTCTGGCCGACGATGCTTGGCATTGATTCTACGTTTATCTTCAGTACGCTTCCCCTCTTTAGAACAACAAAACCTTCTAAATTTCACTACACCAGTTATAGGGCATAGATTTCTATTAGACTTTCGAGTGCTGAATCCCACCTTTCCAGCATATACATTATAAAAGTCATATGCTTCCTCTTCTGTTTTGAAAACCATGCCAACTTTTGGGGTCAACTCTTCAGGAATAAGAGCACATCTTTCTTTGAGCTTCTCTTTTATAATTGTATCTAAGCTTTGTTGATCTTCAAGTCTAGACAAATCATCAGCAATACATTTTCCTTTATCTAGCTCAATAGGCTCGGCTGGTTCGTTTTCCTTGGGTAAATTATTGGCAATACAATGTTTGTCACCATCTGGCATAGAGTGAGGCCCAACTTCCATACTCTTTTTGATTATTCTGTTATATACAACATAAAGTTTAAATAATAGTTAAATGGATAAAACATAGAAAGAAAGGTAAATGCAAATTGACAACGATAAACAACAAAGTGACAATAATAAACAACAATAACGTTATCACTTTTACTTGTTGGAAATTTCCATCCTTTAGACCCCAAGATGCAAGATATGCTTCTGGAAGCAATAAATAGGACTTCTGGTTTAGAGGATTATGGTCTTAGTATTTACTAGATCCACCATGGTTTGATTTACTTGAATGCCCGTAGATAGTAGCTTTTCTTACTAGGTACAAGAATAATATCATTTTTCATTTGCAAGATACCCTATTTAACTCACATTAACTCAACTCAGCCTTGATTCCAACAATGTGAGCTTAGCTACATAAATCCTATCCAACCAATTTGCTATATCAGGATTCAAGAACCATGTTTTAGGTCAGATTGTAATACTTCTGGAGTACCATCTGGAAGTACTCACAAATAAAAAATGCCAATTTGAATATTCATCCCCATTGAGCCACATGCCCAAAAAAATAAAAATAAATAACTAGAACCGAAATAAAAGATCACACCAGACCCTGAAGAAAATAACATCCCAGTTCAGATTTGAATATTCGATCTCCTATTTATCAATCCAATCACAGATGGACATATAAAAATGACTCTGCAGGACAGAATACTCTGCCTTTGATGCCCAAAACATAGGAAAGTAAAAATGCCATTCCTGAATCTGTTTATGACTCTTCCTAATTCCAAACACATGTAGGTAAGAAAGAACAGTAAAACCAAAGGTGTAGCTAAAAATCAAAGAACATGGGCCTAAGTAGAGTACCCACACGCTATAACGTAACAAAAATCAATGCCATAAAAGAGAACAAAGAAAATCCATCTACAAATCACTATCTTAATAACATAAACAAAAAAGGGAAAAAACATCCTATTGAATATACCTAGACTAAAACCAAACAGAAAAAAAAAAAAAAAAGAATCATCCTTATTTCATCAAAGACCTATGGAAGCATGTCAGCATAAAAGAAAACATATTTGACTAAATACTTTTAGAAATATTCATTAGCAATGTCGAATGAAATATTCATCCCTTAAACATGATAAGCTATCACAGAAGCAAGTCTCAACCAAAAGCTGGTAGGTTTCTCTTTTCATATGGCTGATGGCTGACCTTTCCTTTGAGGAGTACCCCCCCCCCCCCCCAAAAAAAAAAAAATTTGGAGAGTTAACTGAGTTGGTTAGTGATTCGTCTACCAACCTGTTCACCGTTACAACCTGAAACTGACCCAAATATTCATCAAATTGTGCAATGTGAGCACAACACCGTTCAAATACATAGCAAAAAAGTTTTAACGGATTAGCAAGTGGGTTGAAAGAACAACTCTGTTTAAAGCTCAGAGTTTTAAATAAATTTTGTCAAAATTGAGTACATGGAAGAAGGGTTTTCTATGAAACACTCAGCTATACCGCAGGACGTTCTATCCATCAAGAGATTTCCACTTTCCACACCTACTTACACTTATGCTTGTGACAAATGAAATACCTGGAATGATGCCTTGGAGGAACGTTAATTACTTCTTACTAATCAATCTGCTAAAGTGCCCTCATGGTGTGATTAATGTGGAAGTTATCCATGTGCAGTTGTGCACATGTGATCGTAGTAATAAACTACTAAGGGAGGCCGGAAACTGGTCCTTGATGAAAACATTTCAGATATGGTGTTAATAAGAAAAAGAATAAATAATACCAGCGGCAGAGAAGTCTTCTTCCTAATCCTCGTCGGCGACAGGGAAGCTCTATCAGATCATTACAATTGCTACTCAGATTTTGGGACCTCGAGATTTGTCAACTTCCCTATAACATGTGGCAAACCACGGAGTTCGTCGGTACTGGAGTATCGCCGGTGGAGAAGAGGCGGCGACGCCAAGGACTGTCGTCGGAAGAAAAGGGGCGGCGGTGGGGCTTTGGCAGTTTTTTCGATTAGGGCTTCTCTGCGTTGCTTCTCTTCTTTTGTTTTTTTCAAAAAAAAAAAAAAAGGAGAGTAGCCTCCGACCTCCGTTAGCCTCGCACGAGTCTGTCCCCCACACGTAATATGCTCAAGGATCAAAATTTAGTCAAGACGGCCGATACGTATCGTATCGGAGCCTTCCTAATATGCCCAGGGGTGTTTCGGGTTGACAAGTGGTTCAGAGTAGACCGGCTTTAAATTGGCCGCCCTGAGCCAGTTTTGAAAAAAAAAACACATAAAAAATAGTACCAAATGTATCAGCCTGTATCGATATTTTGAACCTTGAGTATGATGACATGTCCTACAATTATTGTTCTACAATTCCAGACTTTTCGGTATAAAGCAGATCATCTGTAGATCCTTCAATCTTCTCAATTATCGCTCTCTTAATTTGAATTCGTCCTTTTTGAAGTACTAGTAAGTATGCACGTGCTTTGCATGTGGTAATTCTAGATGATGATAATGATAACAATAATGTATCCAAAATTTTCTATAAATTTTATGTATTTTTTTTGTTTTTATATTTTATTTTTTTATTATTAATCRGATACTCTGCATCTGATTACATAAACACCCCATCCAAATATGTAATAATCGGATCGAATGGGGTGAAAAGTAATAGTTTAATCTTTTTGGTGTGTTTTTTTTTTGTTCATTTATAAAAAAAATGTAAGATTTAAATAGAGGGATTTGAATGGGGTGAAAAGTAATAGTTCAATTTACGATTTAAACATCATAAAGAAAAAGGGATTAAATTCAAAAATGAGTATTTTAGTCAAAAAAAAAGTTCCACAATTTTATTTCATATTTTTAATAGTAGTGTAAATATAGAATTATAGATGTGTTTAATTTTTCTATAACTTTTTTTGTATTTTTGTGTGTAAAAATAATTTTAATATGTCACACTTACTTTTTGTTTAATATGATAAATATACGATATTATACATGTGCTTAATTTTTTTTTGCAAAATTTATGTTTTTTTTTCATTTTTGTATTTTTATATTTTATTAACTTTTATTATTTTATTGATGACATTAAATGTTAACATGTTTGACCCAAAATTTGAACTAGTGATCTTTGCCAAACAGTAAAATTATTTCATTTTTTGTATGTTCTAAATTATGTATTTCAATTTTATTACCAATAAAAATAATTCTTGTTTATTACACTTTTTTAATTTGATTAATAAAATATCATAAATGTGTCTAAATTTTTCTACATTTTGTAAGGTTCTATATTTATTTCTAATTTAAAAATTTTATTACATAACTATGACTTCTTATGTTGATCGATTTGATTAGATGGTTGAATTGCTTAGCCACCACTTGAATTAAAAATTGTTTTGTTTTTGAGTTAGTTTTATATGGTTTATATTGTTAAAAAAACATTAACACAGATCTAATTTAATAATAGAAAATGAAAGTTAATAATTTAAGTATAAGACTCAATGAGAATGGATTAAATGAGGTGTGAAGTAATAATTAAAGTTACATCTTCAACCCTTACCATTAGATATAGACTAAATACACAATTATGGGCATTTTAATAGCCATTAAAGTTATAATAAAATGGCTTTATACCCTTTCTCAAACAAATAAGTAGAGGGTACTTTTAGTCCAAAAAAAGTTTCACATTCCATTCTCACTTTCATATATAGTATAGATTTCTGTTGTGGGCCTTTGAAATTATAAAACGGGGCCTAGGTCCATTGTTTTGTTCTCCTATATGGAGCCCCATTTTTTTGAACAATTGCGAAGTAGACCAAGTTTTGGATAAGTGCTTATTTGAAAATTGAGTGTTTATTGAATAAGTGCTTAAAAACAAGTGTTTATTAGTGTGGTCCTGGCCCAAAATAAGTGAATAAACACTTATTTTTAAGCACTCCCAAAAGAATTTATTTTAAACAGGGGTAGCATAGGTATTTTAAAAATGATGTGGTGGGCCAAGATAGGTCAGAAAGGAAATAAGCAATTACTTCCCAAACACAAATAAGTGCTATTGGTATGGTCCCGACTCCCGACCAAAAATAAGTGCTTATTTGAATAAACACTTTTTTTTAAGCACTCCGAAAAGGACTCAATATGGAGTTTTATTGTGACCTCCCAAAAGGACAAATCAAATAACAAGCCCAAACACACCCTAAAAAATAAATAGAAAGAAAGGAGAAAAACAAAGCTTGCTGCAATATTCCAAAATCATGGAGTTCTAGTGAGACACGGGGATCTCATAGCGAGGACAGAATGGTGGCCTACTCTAACGGAAGTGAATACTTTGAGATCGAATTAGAAGTTGGAAATGAATCATTTGATTGGCCTTAGGAGATTTCATCGATAATAGACATGCCTTTAACAATTATATATTTCTTCTTTTTTCAGGTGGGAAGAACTGTGGATCAGCTTTCTCAAAAAGGGAGGCATGCACATAAATTTGCTAAAAAAGGAATATACAGATTTCATTAGGCTGCGTTTGGAATCGGTGTAAAACATCATTGGTGTAAAAGTGTGATGTGATTGGCGTAAAATTTTACGTTGATTTTATCGATATAATATTTACATCGATAATCGATATAAAACTTTATATTTGATGAGGTTTTACATCAATTCATGATATAAAACTCCACTCCATCCAAACGCAAAATTGAAGTGGAGTGAAATTTTACGTCAATCATGGTTATACACTCCTTCCAAATGCCGACAAAATTGAACCAGCGTAAACTTTTACGTTGTTCTCGATTTACACCGATTTCAAACACAACCTTAGACAATCTTCTTAATTAGACAAATTAATCGGTTATATATATATATATAAAGGGTTGTGATGTGAGCCACTGATATGAATTATTGATCTAGCTCCTCCCGACCCCTTCCAAAACTCCCAAGATATTTGAGAGACTGATATTTTATGCTTTTTAATGAATATATTTTTCCATGCTTGGGTGCGTAGAGGTTGAACCACCAAAGAAGTTTTTATTAGGCTCGTTTGAGTTATAAATTTGCTAAACTCTTACAAAATTTCTTTCTTTATACTTCATAACTAGCATGGACCTGTGCAATACACATGAAAATCCAATGTCCAATTAGATGACAAAAGGGATCAATTGTTTTGATGGTTCTTAGGTTGAACTTATTTTGAATACTCACGTGTTTAGTATTGAACCTCATGTTCCCTTTATTTGGACTAAATTAATTTCTTTTTCAGTGAAGGATGCTATTAATAGTATTTGGGCCAATCATGCCAATTATTTATCTTCTAAAGTTATAAGTCTGATTCAGAATGTGTGGAAGTTAAAAGTGCTACTCAGATTTAAATTATTTCTTTGGAGAGTTGTTAGAGATTTTGGTTCTGTCCTGTCCTTGGTTATGTCTACTAGAGGGTTCATGATAGATAAAAAATGTGTGTCTATGAGTTCTGGCTTAAGTATAGATATTATTTTATTTTTTATGTCCTCTTTATATTCTATGGAGGAAAGAGAGATGTTTCTTACTTGGTTGGTTGTTATTAGTTACCATATTTGGCTTTTAAGGAATATTGTTATCTTTAGAGAGGAAGGAACCTGTGGATTTTCATGTTTGAATGTGCCTTTAGTACTGACCCTGCAATAAATTGTTTCTTCTCTTCCTTTGGAAATCATCATGTTTCTTATTCTCCCAGTATACTGGCATCTGATTCTATAGTTATTTTTTGTGATAAAAAAAGTTATTAATGATTCCTTTACTTCATTTGGTCTTTTTACTTTTAATAATGTTAATGCTCATTTTTTGTTAGCTACTATTAAGCATGCTTTTTAATTGGTTGTGGATAAATGATAGCATTCTATAGTAGTGAAGCCCAACTCTCTAGTGGTTATTTCAACTTAAAATGAAGATTCTTAATTTGTTCCTTAACTTCCTTGGCTTATAGTTTCGTGTTGGATGATGTAGAGTAAATTTTTGTTAAGTTAGACTATTGTTTTTTGTTATGTTAATAGATCCTTTAATAAGTTGACACAATGTTTAAGCTTCTAAGACAATATTTAGGAAGAGAGGATATGGTTGGCTCCATCTTTTTTGGACTTAAATAGTTGTAATTTTCTACTTTCTGTTTAATCTATTAGCTTTTTTCCTATCAAATAATAATAATAATAAAGACAAATGTATTTATCTATATACACAAAACAATACTCGAGCATCAACCAACACTAGGCTGCATTTGGTTGCAATGCAAGATGCAAACTATGGTAGTGTAAATGACTTGGGTGCAAATTTTGATATATTTTTTGTTTTAAACTTCACCTTATTTTGTATGATTGCAGTAGAAATGAAGTAAGATAAGACCTGAAGCAGAATAAAGTGAAACCCAAAACAAAATTAAAACAGATTGCATTCTTTTCATTTGCATTCCCATGCATTTGTACTAGTGCAAATAACATTGCACTCCAACCATGCCACATGCCCACTTCTTCAAAATCAATATCGTCCAACATGTATCAGTACTTCAAAAGTTGGACATAAGAGATCTATTGAGAGGGAGGGGATGGAAGAGGAAAGAATCACCAAATATCCATTTATCAAATATTATAATGCATATATAACAGGTGGAACATGGCGTACATTTCAACCTCCAAAAATCTCCAAATGCAAAGATTGACTCTTAGCTGCTGCTTTGTACCAGGACATAGACCTAACCCATGACCATGAGATTAATATAGATGCTGGAATACTTGAGAAAAAAAACTCCTCTCAACATATAAGCTCAGTGATTGGTCCAATTGGCCTTCATCCGAATGTTGCAATGAGGAATGCTTTATAGATGCTCATGAATTTTGCAACAAATGCTGCACAGAATGAACAAATACAGTCAACAAGCAGCCAAGATGGTGAAAGAAGACATTTCAAGAATTTGCTCGCCAATTCATGCACTAATAATAGGATTTATTTCTGGAAGAGTACAATCTCTAAAATCTCAGACTAGAGATGCAATTATAATAATGAAAATGATGATAAAGAAGATAGATGGATTCCTAATTTTTCCACCTTCCCTATAATATTTTGACACCACTGTCACTGAAATCTTGTCACGCAGCTAACATGTTATGGGAACACCTGTTAGTCTGTTACTTGAAGTACATAAGTTCATGGGAGCATATGATTCTGGTGCCAAACAGGTGAGCACTGCCATTGGGTTACCATAAACCATTTAGTAAAAGCTTGAAGTAACACTGTTATTATGTACTTGACCACACCAAAAGCCTTAAGCGTCATGCTTGTCATGCCAAGCCGTTTAACCTTTAGGGTTGTAACCATACTTCCACAACCAATGTCTTGGTGGCTTCACTCTTCATAGCAGGTAGCTCTTTCCCTTTAGCAGCTTTCACTCTGGTTTAGATAACCCTTTCCGTGACAGCTTTCACTCTGCTATAGGTAGCCCTCTCTGTGATTTAAACTTGAGACATGGTGGTAAGCTCTGATACCATTTGTTACGTGACCAATATGCCCAAAGCCTTAAGACTGTTGGAACGTGTCAAGCCAAGCCACTTAACCTTCAGGCCTAACAACGGTGCACTACATCAGGCCAGAACAAAATGAGCTTTCTCTTGTTTTACCATATCAGACTCAGACCAAGACTAACAATCAATACTTTATTTTTGGGTTGCCTTCTTCCAAGACCCGGGATAGGACTATTATTTGGGCTATACTTTATACCACCTCTTTCTCTTTTCTTTATTTGATAAAAAACCGTTCTTTGCTACTGATAAAATAAATAATAAAGAAAGACAAACTTGAGTAATCTTCATTATCTGAAGAATGTAGCATCCATGCCTGCCATATTTAATAACCAGATAAACTGAACAAGAATAGGTTTATTGGAGATCAAAATGTTTTTAGTTTTTACAGATGGAATTGAGAGGGATACAAATGGGGAGGTGTATGAATAATTTTTCCATTATATTCAGGGATTTCTTTCAATTCCTTGAAGTTTGTGCAACAAAGATATTGATAACTAATCCTTCAATATACATCCATTCATGTGATCAATGAAACCAATAAAAGAACTGCTAATCTTCTAGCATTGAAATTTATCCAAAATGATGCAAGTTCCCACCAGAAATTTTCAAATAGCTACTTGGAGGATGCTAGAGGTTGTGATTGCAAAATGTTATAAAAAMACTTCAGCTTCATAGTTTCTTTGAGGCTATCATATCCACTACGTGTGCACAAGCATCTAGATACCATAGTCAGAAGGTTAATAAATCTGACTTGCTGACCAAAAAGAAAACATTCCTATCTGCAAAGCTTTTATTTATGATTTTCTGTTAAATTTATTACTCCATATTTTTTTCAGATACATTTCCCAATCCAAGCCCAACCCTGACTTTCAGGTTGTACAAAAGGATTTAGTACAAGCTAGCTCAAGTTGCATTCTAAAAGTTCTTTTCATAATTCAGTTTGGGAAAAATAGATGGCTGCATATGGTATGGAAGTTTTCATGTATCTTCACAACAGCGAACAGTTCAGAGCAACAAGTACATTATGTCTATAGATGACCAGAGCAAACTTCCCAAACATAACAGTACATAGTTTTCTTCAATTAAAAAATGGTTATTGTTGTGTAACCAAAATAAAATAGCACATTTGAACTAATTGACATAAAGGTGCTTAACGGTACCTTCAATGTGAAATATTGCCTTCTGACCCAGTCGCATTCTGTGTTCCTGGATACAACAGACAGTTGTATAGTTAGAGATATTCCAAATTCCTTAGTCAGAGTCAGAGATAACATTATATGACTGGTTTTGTGGAGATACTAATGAAAAGCTAAGAAATTAGTCAGCATATTTGCAAATCAAACCTACACAACATTTTTTTCTGCAAATAGGAGGCTCACGATCCAGTATTTAGATATATAGCATTCTCTATTTACATTTAAAGATGGTCCAGAATAGGTTTGTTGGATGATTGAAATACATCAAAGTTCATATTAGGAAATGTATGTAATACTGCAAACATAAAAGGAGGTCAAGAGAAGGGTTCAAAAGGAAGTAGAAGGCAAAGGCAGGGAAAGAGAGGAAGAGTAGCTTAGGTGAATCTGTTTCTGCAAGCAGGGGTTGAAGGTGTCATTCTCTTAATAGGTGGGCCATTTGATTAATGATGTATGTTTCTGTTTTATTCATTCTAGAGTACATGAAGGGAGCCTTGTAGGGTTGATTTGACCATGAGAATTATGAATTTGGTATGGGTTCAACTATGATGCCAGAAAGACTTGATACTGGAAAAACTTACAACCAATCAACTGGCATCATAAAAGTACTAACCAATCAGGTGGATTTTCATCAAGATTCATGGGGGGTTGTGATTGGTCAATGCCTTTCTGGTATCATGTCTTTCTGGCATTATATATTTACCCATTTGGTATGTGGGTGATATGTGAGGCTGTAGTTGGTAGTTCACTTCTCAATTTTCTCCTCTCATTCCTGTTCCTTTTCTTTTGCATCTCCTTTGTATTCTTGTTTCCTTTCTCTTTGCACCTGTGCATTTGGTACTCCCTTAGATCTTTAAGAAAGAAAGAAGAAAAATGAAAAAAAAAAGAAATCAAAGGTCAGAATATCAGATCCACTTGACAGAGTTGATAGGTCTGATGCACAATGTGCAAAATAAAGGATAGATGACAAATAAATGGATGTACTAGTATAGAATTACTCAAAGTAGTTAATTCTATTTTAAGACATCCTATGTTAGTATAATACAACAAAGAGAGCAATACAATATGAAGAGACACCTGAAAATGGGAAATGACAAGGAACTTACATAATAGGCTGCCCAATGGCACACCTCATGCTTAAGTTCAGCATCCAACTTCTTCAACAATTCAGAAAGCAACCTCTACAAATCAAAGAAGGCATTTCAAGTAAACATTGTGAAATATACAGGAAATATTGAAACAGGAATACTTACCTTCAAAATGATCACTGGAGGAATACAATTAATAAGTAGCTCATACAACTTCCCACGAACTAAAAACAGCCTGAAGAAATAATGAAAATTAAAGTTAGACAAGTAGATCACAGTACAGATATGTAAAGATGTATCTACTACCCATACATTAAAATCCCTAAATGCTCCAATTCCTTCATGGAATTTCCTCCTTCACTATTTACATTCTACTTATCTTTTCCCTTTTTCAATTGATTATTTTGTCCCTTTATTATTTACAACAACAGCTGTCATACATTGAATTCAGATTTTGATCAATACATTCAAAATGTTTCAGGTTTATCAAAGATCTTTTTATGATTCCATGATTAGGAATAAGGTGGAGACACCATAATTATAGGCATTTGAGTTAATCCAGTTTCATTGAAGCCTCCACAATAGCTGGGATGCCATCTCCCCAGGCATGGTGGGGGTGGCATCCCAATTAATTCTGACAGGAGAACTATGTGAGCCCTTAATAGCCAAAATAGGAGATGCTAACACTGCTGAAAGAGGTGCTTGCACTTCTACTAACCTTGCATTGCCAATAGAGTTTGGTCTTTGTCACTTGCTACTTGGAGGGGTTCATCTAATGTAATTTAGGTAAAGTGGATGCAGGCAGGAATTAGGGGATCTAGCTCATTACCTGAATGAAATTAGAGATACTCTCCCATGTTTTCCTGTCCACAGGGGATGGACCCAAGGGCATGAAATTTTGCTGATGGGCCTTGTTATGTTGGTCAGGTCTGCCTAAGGGTCAGTTTATTCATTGCAATTGAGTTGATTAAGAGGTACTCAACTAAGGGCAGTATTGTAATTATGTACTCTCCATATAAATGCCAATGTTTTGGGAGCCATTCAAAAGATTAGCTTCGAGCAGTTCAGGTTGATCATACTCTCTATGTAAAGAAAGAAGGTGGTTTGGTGACTTTGTTGATAATCTATGTTGATGACATTGTTGTTAGTGGTGATGATCCTATAGGAATTAGTAAGTTAAAGGATTTCCTTGCATCAAAATTTGAAATCAAAAGGCCTTTGGGACACCAAATGTTTTCTTTGAATTGAGGTAGCAAGATCAAAGAAAGGTAATTTATCTCATAGAGGAAGTTAGGGGCCAATCCTACTGAGACTCCTACACACCCTAATCAAAGCTGGGGGTTGATGATGGTGATATCCTTCCTAATCAGTTTGTCTTTGTTTAATGAATGGTTAAAAATGTCCATAAATTTCCTAATATTTCCACTACATATTTCCATTTCCGTGGGTACCAACACAAAATTTTACTAGAATTGGCATATTCCCCCATAAACACAATTGACACTATGTTGAGTGCAAGATATAGTATTATAACATAAGTTCGTAACAATATTGTAGATATATGGAGTAACAATGTCATTGCCCACTTAATAGACATAATTACTGCTTTGAGCTAGCTCAGTATTCTTTTCAAACATGAAGATAAATATTAGTTTTGTTTGTGTAATACATTATTTGGTTAATTTATTAGAATCGTTTGCATTTTCTATGAGTTTAAATTTTGCTTGAACCCATCCTATCATGTAGTTTGGACTCTTAAGGTTTGAAGGACAACTTCATAATGTATTATTTTGTCTAGAATTGGTTTTTTCCCTGTTTGGGTGTAGGTGGACTTTACCAATGGAGGTTAATATGCTATTTGATCCTTCTATGTTTACTTGGCCAAAAAAGAGGGGAAGAATAATGTGGAGGCGTGTTAGAGCAACCTTGGTTTGGATCATCTAGGAAGAGAGGAATATGGGAATATTCTCAAAGAAGGAAAGAAGCAAGGAAGACATAGTGTTGGTTAGGGTGATCCATTGGATCAAGTCTCTAGAACTGTTTCTTAGTTCTCGTTTGATGATATTTGGAGGAACTAGGAAGTAGTTGCAAGAAGTTCTTCTATAAAGAAAAGAGCAAGTGTTGCGTGGCTACCTCCACCTGAAGGCTTTGTGAAGTTAAAGTTTGATGGGAGTAGTAGGAGTGGGTCTTGCGAGATCTAGAAGGTAAACTTATAGCTTTGTTTTCTAGCCCTATGGGGTTGGGGGATTCTCTCAAAGCAGAACTTCTTGCAGCATTACAAGGAGTACAAATTGCTAATGAATTGAACATAGCCAATGTGGTGATTGAAGGGGACTCAGAATAGGTGGTGGGTTGGCTAAAGGATCCAGAGTCTATAATATGGTACTACAGGAGTGAGGTGAAAAAATTCAAATGGATTAATGGGATAGCGGATGCTTTAGCCAAGCAAGGGGTGAATAGGACCCATTTATTTTGGGCTCATTTGTAATGTTTTCTGATATAATATAGAGAGGTAGCATCTTGTGCCTCTCTAAGAGATGTGCTTATAATGTTTATTATCTTAAGTCTTAATAAAATTTGAAGTTATTTATTAAAAGAATATATTGTCTATAACCTTAGCTTCTTAGCTTTGTTTAATGATTTGAAACAAGATAATAATTTAAAAACGTGTACCTATGATTCTTTTATGATTTTATAATGCCATTCTATATTTTTGCATATTTCACAATGTTTACACCATGTCTATAACTTTTACAATATTTCCATACAATATTATCGGACATTTCCGACATGTTTCCTATATTTGGATGACTGACATTGACATTTTAAACATTGGTTTAATGAGGCCAAGCATTTTTTCACATGTAGTTAGTTTTATAAGCAAATTTATGCACAATCCAAGAACATCTCATATGCAAGCTGTAGAGAGAATTATGTGCTACCAAAAAGGTTGTCTTGAGAAGGGAGTGTTGTACTCCAATCATGGACATTTTAACTTTATACTAATGTTGATTGGGCTAGCTCCTTCAATTAAAGATTGCATAGGGCAACTTTCAAATGGCCAAGGAAAAGAGGGAACAATGTGGAGGTGTTTTAAGGATTGCATAGAATTAAGGGTGATACACTGAATTAAATCATTGGACCTTTTCTCACCCTACACAATTGATGATATAAAAAGAAATTGGAGGGAAGTGGCTTCATCATCTACAAGGGAAGACAAAATCTTCAAACCTTGGGCTCCACCCTTGGAAAACTCTATCAAGCTTAATTTTGATGGGAGCAGCCTCGGTAATCCAAGCTCTTTAGGCATTGGGGGATTTTCAGAGATAAAGAAGTGAATATATGAGTAGCTTTAGTCTCGGGCCCTATTGGTGTTGGGGATTCCATTAGAGCTGAACTAATAGCTGTCCTATATGGGGCTCAAATAGCAAAAGAGTTAAACCTGGAAAAGCTGGTTGTTGATGGGGACTCTAATGTGGTGGTTAGCTGGTTACAGGATCTACTGAAATTGAGTTAAGAAGGCAGCTTGGATCTACCAATATGGGGTTAAGAAAATCAAATGGCTTCTAAGGGGATTGACAGTAATTTACCAATGGGTCTCAATGAAGGCCAATGGACTAGCTGATTCATTAGCTAGGCAAGGGATGGGCAAGGAAACAACTATATTGGGCTCAAGTGTAATATCTGTACTTTTGGGGGTATCTTTACCCCTTTTAATCCTCACTGTACATTATTGTTTATATTAATGAAATGATTCCAGGTTATCTATAAAAATAAATAATGAAAGAAGAGAGAGTTGTGGCAAGATAGGAGAAAGAAAGAAGAAGAGACTGGAAAGAAATTACTCTAAGCCATGAGGCTAAAGGGAGTCCCACTATCTTTCATATCAACTATGTAATAAAAGATAAAATTACACAATGCCCCTTAATAGGGTGGAAGAAATAAAATAACTAAGGAACATGACCCATGGGCCCAATAGGAAAAGTAGAAAACTTGGAAAAATAAAAAGATTTGTAACAGAATTAGAGGAGAAAGAAGAAGAAGAAAGGTTCTTGGAGAAAAGAGAAGAGAAGAATGAGAAGAAGAGACAGGAGAAGCCAATAATCAGTCTGGCCGCTCCACTCATTAGCTTTTATATTAACTAATTAAAAGAGATACAATATCCAATATGCCCTTAATAGGGCAGCTGCTGTGAATAAGATAAAACTGCACTAAAGGAAACATTCAACTAATGGGCCTTGGGCCCAATAATACTAATTTAAAAAATAAAACACAAACTACTAAAACCTCAACACTCCCTCTCAAGTTGGGAGTAGATGTCACACATTCCCAACTTGCGTATATCATGTTCGAGTTTGTTCTTTGCAACCCCCTTGGTGAGTAAATCGCAAGTCGTAAGTCAAATGAAACATATGCAGACATACTTCCCCATATTTCACCCTTTCTCTTATAAAATGCCCATCTACCTCTACATGCATTGTCAGATCATGCTGAATTGGGCTGTGAGCAATGTTAATTAATGCTTGATTATCACAGTACAGCACCATTGGTTCCTTTGCATCAATTCCAAGCTCTCCCAATAAAGGACCAAACACAGAGAAGCTGCGAAACACCATGTGCCATAGCTCTATACACTGCTTCTACATTCGACTTGGCTACAACTGGTTATTTCTTACTCTTCCATGAAACCAAATTACCCCCAACAAGAGCACGAACTCCTGATGTAAATCTCATGTCATCTAGGCACCACACCCAATCTATATCTGTATAAGCCCCAACTTCATGTGTCCATGATCAACAAACAATATCCCTCTATTTGGATGCCATTTCAAATAGGCAAGTATCCTATCAATGGTTGCTTAGTGTTGAGCCCATGGAGCATGCATGTATTGGATCACAACATTGACCGTATAGGAGATACCTGAACGTGTCATGTACAGATATAACAGTCAGTCCACTAATCGTTGATACCTCCCAACATCCTTTACTAACCATCTGAAGCATTAATCGTGTGGTTATGGTCAATAGATGTATCAGCTAGTTTGACTCCAAGTTTTCAGTAGAAATGTGCTGAAATAAAAAATCTGTAAAAGAAAAGAATATTTCTTGAAGAAGAGAAGAAAGGAGAAAAGGAAGAGAAGAGATTTGAGAGAGAAAAGAGAGCAATAATGTTGGCCACCCTCTTCACTATTATTTATAGTCTAAAATAATAAAGAGTACAAAGACCAATATGCC